CGGCCGCCAGAGGCCCGACGTTTGGGCCGAGAGTCACCCCGAGGGGGCGAAGGATTGCAAAAAAAAACGAAGGATTGCAAAACAAAACCCGTCGTTCAAGGTTTTTTTTTTTTTTTGTTTTTTTTGTTTTGTTTTTTTGTGCAATCCTTCGATTTTTTTTGCAATCCTTCGAGCAAGGATGGTTTGGGCCTCGGAGGGCTTTCGGGGGGAAGTGGGCTGACGGAGGTCCTCGGAGGTCTCGGGGAGGTCTCCAGGAGCCCCCGGAGGCCCGCGGAGGCCCTTGGACCCCCCTGGGGGCCCAAGAGGTGACACGCCGCCCACAGACATCCAGAAGCTTCGGTTCTCGAACCTCGAGCCCGGATGTTCGATCCTCGAACCTCGATCGTCCATGCGCACGCATACTCAGGTTTACGTATTCACAGACTCAGACGTTCTCAGACTCTCTCCTAGAACCACTGCCGCCCACTCAACCGTACCTGGTCCATTCACATGCAGATTCACTCGCAGTCAGATCATTCACGCTCAAATTCATTCATTATTCTCCCCTTTGGTGGTCCAGTGCCCAGTCGCAATTTCCACTGGTACTTCCCCATCCCCCATCTCTCCTGGATGGTTCTCACTGCAGTCACTGAAGTCGTCGCTGTCGCCGTCGTCGTTGTCGCGCCCGTCGCCCACGCCGATTCGCTCTCACACCAGATGCTCGCAGACTGAATTTTTCTGCGAGACGACAGGAGTATGATATACACGCATGCGAGCTCCACGCAGTGATTCATGTGAGGCTACTTTGGGGACCCCCGCGCTCCTGGAACCCCGCGCGGATTCTGCTGAGTAGTGGGGAAGAGGCGAAACATTGGGGCGGGGCTTGAGGGGCGAGGAACGGCGACAGCTGACGACGACGGACGACGTACGGACATCGGATCACGACGATTCCGACGACGATGACGACGACGGCGAGGACGACGACGACGACGACGACGACGACGACGACGACGACGACGACGACGGAGACGACGACGACGACGTCGACGGCGCTGCCGACCGCGACGGCGGCGGCGACGATGACGACGACGGCGACGACAGCTACGACGACCACGGCGACCGTGGCCGTCGCGGTCCCGAGGACCAACGTAGAGCAAATTGCATGTTTACATGGGGTGCGAGTTTTTTCAGGCAGTCCGGGAGAGCACCGGGGCTCCGGGGGCCCCGCGCGAATTCTGTTAATCCGCGAAAGGGGGGCGGGAGGAAGAGGGAGTGGAGGGGCAAGGAAGGACGATGACTGACGACGACTGGCGATGGGCGACAGACGACGACGACGCCGACGACGACGACGACGACGACGACGACGACGACGACGGCGACGACGACGGCGACGACGACGACGACAACCACGACGACGACGACCACGACGACGACGACGACGACCACGACGACGACGAAGGCAGAGACGACGGTGGCGGCGGCGACCACGACCACGACCACGACGACGACGACCACGACGACGACGACGACGACGACGACGACGACGACGACGACGACACTGACGATGGCAAACCGCTCTACGACGCAGCATGGGGAAGTGCCTCACGCCGAAGGACCTTCAAACTGTCCCGAACGGAACAGCCGGGGGCGGTGCGCTCCGGGTGCCCCTCGGTGCGCCCGCCGCCGGCCCGAACGGGGTGGGTTGGCGGGGAGCCCCCACGCCGCCGCCTCGCGAAGTCTGCCAGCACCCCGGCGCGAGCCCGTGGCTCTCCCGCGAGCTCCGGGCGCTTTCCGCGCGGCGTCGCCGCGCGCTGCCGCTTGCGGCTCGGCCAGTTTCCGGTTGGCACCGCGCCCTGCCCCTGGGTTTTTTTTTGCATTCTGGGTTTTTTTGGCGATCCTGGCTTTTTTTTTGCAATCCGTTTTTTTTTTGTTTTGCAATCCTGGGTTTTTTTGCAATCCTTCGGTGTGCCGCCCTCGCGATGCCGCCGCGCGCCGTGGCCCGCAGTCGCCGCGCGCCCGCCGCCGGCCCGGTGTGCGGGGGGGGCGGGGGGCCCCTCGCCCTCGCCTCGCGGGCCCCCGCCGGCCCAGGGCCCGCGGGCGCCCGCCGTCCCCATGCGTCGCGCGCACGGCCGCCTCTTTCCGTTCTGGGTTCCAAAAAAAACCCAAGGATTGCAAAAAAACCTAAGGATTGCAAAAAAAACCCTGGATTGCAAAAAGAACCCTGGGTTTTTTTTTGCAATCCTTGTTTTTTTTTTTTTTTGCAATCCTGGGTTTTTTTTGCAATCCTGGGGTTTTTTTGCAATCGAATGTCCTCGCTGGCGCAGCGGCTCCCCCGCGCCTTTCGCGCGCGCCATTCTGCCCCGCGCGTTTCGCGCGCGGCGTCGAACCGCCCGCCGCTGGTCTGGGCGGGTAGTCTGGCGGGGCTTCTTCCTCTGTGGTCGCCGTGCGGTTCCGCGCCGTCCGCGGAGTCTCTGGAATCCCGCCGCCTCCAGGCGCCGCGCGAGCGTCGCCGCGCATTGCCGTTTTCGGCTTGGCCAGGGGGAGGGGGAGGGGGGATCGGGGAGAGGGTTTCTCCGACTTGCGCCTCTCGGCAGTGGCCAGAATCGGCGGCGGCGCCCACTGGCAACGAAACCCCGTGATCGATCCAGCGCGCTGCCGACGTCGATTCGACCCCGTCGTACCTTGCCGGGGAGGTGGAGGCCGAAGTGGGGGGCCCGACTGCGGAGGGCTTCCGGGCGGGGATGGACGAGGGAGGGGGGCCGCAAGGGGCGGCAGGAGCGGGGCGCGAGCCCGTGGCGACGCGCCGTAGGCGACGCGAGGCGGGTTCATGTCGCGGCTTTCCAGGCGAGGCATTCCCCGTGCAATCGGAAAAGTCTGTTGGCAGCGGACCGCGCGATCGTGCGAAAGAGAAAGGTGTTGGATGAATCCGTTCTGCGCGCGGGCCAGCGCTGACGTTTTCAAGACGCGGGGGGGCTTTGGGTGTTCGTCCGGCTTGTTTTTTGTTCACGTATCAGTGTCGTCTTTTGACAGGCCTGGAGCCCGAATATTGATCACTTGGCCCGAACGCCAGCGTGCAAAATTGCCCACTTCGATGTTTGCAAGACGATGGAGGTCGGGGCAAGACACCCTGGTTCTCCACAATTCCAAGACGTTCGCCAGGAAGGAAAAAACTCCTGAAGGAAACAGGTCCTGGAGGTTCTTCGCCGTTTTCGGGATCCTGTGGCCGTCTTTGGGCCCTGGGACCATCACAGTATTTGGGGAAACTCCCGAAATCCAAGATCCGTGTTCCTCGTGACCCGCTTTCTTGACGCCGCGACGACAACCGATTAACATGCGATTTGTTCACTGCGCGGCCCCAGGGTTCCCGACATTTTGCCTGGGGCAGCTTCGTAAATACATAAAACATGTATGACTATGTACTATGTAGTTTACTATATACCTACCAACCTTCCTACCGAACTACGTACCTACGCACATACACATACACATACATACGTACATAAATGCATACGTACATACACACATGCATACAAACAAACATACATACATACGTACACGCATACAGACATCCATGCACGAGTGTGTACGTACATACATACGCGGCGGTATGCATACCCACCCATATACCTACAAACTTACATACATACATACATACACACAACCAGACGCATACACACATACATGTATGCACACATACACACATACATACATACTGACATACATACATGCGTAGTGTATATATGCACATGTTGATGCAGCCGTGCACATGTGTATACACATACATACATACATACATACAAACATACATACATACATACATACGTGCATGCAGGCATGCGTGCATGCATACATACACGTATGCACACATGTACAAACATATATGTCTACATGGTTGCATGTATACATACATGTGTTCGTGAATACGTGTACAAATACGCACGTGCGTCCATACATACACACACCCATACATGTCTACATACATTCACAAATGTATGTTTCATCCATTCATACAGACATACACACATGCACCAATACACGCATGCGTTCACACATACATACACACATACCGCCAGACATAGTGACAGAGACAAGCAGAGACAGACAGACAGACAGACAGGCAGACAGACAGACAGACAGACAGACAGACAGACAGACAGACCGCATACACACACATCTGTGTGCATATATATATATGTATATATATATATATATGTTTTTATAGACACACATACACGTACATGCATGCATACATACATACATATGGGTATGCGTATGTACATATCCATATATGTATATCTATGCATTGATCAGTTCGGGTCATGAGCTGGCAGGGACCACCCATAGTTATCATGCGACCCGCAGATTTCTCGGGATGGAATTCTGGGGAGACTATGGGTGTGTGTTGTCGGATGGAGGTTCCCGCTCGATTGGGAGACCTCCTCGGGGTCCGACAATTCGCACCCATACTCATAGCGCCTTCATCGCCTTGACCGTCCCCCTTCCTCTTCCCTGTCTGCATGAGTGTGTGTGTGTTTATTCATCACCAGGGGCCCGATAACTGGCCGCAGAGGCCGACGTCGAGGAAGAACACCGGGACTGAAACAGACAACTCGTCGGAGATCCGGGGGCATGGCGCCCCAGGATCTCCGACGAGATGCGGTCGCGTGGGCGTGTGCCGCGCTGGCCGCTCTCGCCGGGAGCCCGCGGGGGGGACGGCAGCGACGGCGACGGCGACAACGACGACGACCGCGACGGCGACGACGGCGACGGCGACGACGGCGACGGCGACGGCGACGACGGCGACGACGACGACGACGACACGGCGACGACAGCGACGACGACGACGACGACGACGACGACGACGACGACGACGACGACGACGACGACGACGACGACGACGACGACGACGACGACACGGCGACGGCAGCGACGACGACGACGACGATGATGGCGGCGACGTCGGGGTTGGGCGGCGCACTGGTCATGTGTTGGGGGGGGCCTCTGCCAGCGCCCCCCCGAAGGCGGAGAGGGAGCTGGAGCAGATGACCGAGGCGCGGTGGGTGGAGGGCGCGGCAGGGCTCGGAGAAGGAGGGCAAGAGGAGGAGGAGGAGGAGGAGGAGGAGGAGGAGGAGGAGGAGGAGGAGGGAGCAGGAGGAGGAGGAGGAGGAGGAGGAGCAGGAGGAGGAGGAGAAAGAAGGGTTTCGGAGGAGGAGGAAAAGGTACCCACACCGCTGCCCTTCCCTCGTCTTCCCCTGGTTTTGCCTCCCGAACGGCCCTCGTCGCCACCGCTGGGATGCGCATCGAAATCCTGGTCAGAGCGCACCCCGGGAGAGGTCCGGGGAGCAGGGCTATCGGTACCGCCCGGTTTCCCCAGAGGGGGAGGAGAAAGACGTCTTCCGGTGCCCGCCCTCCCTTCTCGGGTGTCTTCCTGACTCCCGCTGCTGCCGCGCAGCTTTCCCAGCAGCTTCGCAGCCTCAGCAGTGGGCGCCCGGCTTCCAGATGGCAGGTGCGGCGGTCAGGGGCAGCGTCGGGGGGAGATGGGCTCCGGGGGGGGGACGCCTCGACCCCCAGTCGCCCGTTGATCGCCGACAGGGCGCCGATTGGAGCCCGATGAGCCCAGCCCGCCCCGAGACAGGGTCCGATGGCCGAGGTGGAGGACCTCTCCCCGCCCCTCGCTGCTGCCCGAGTTCGTCGGCCAGCCTCGTCTCTCGCTCTCTGTTTGTTCTCTCTCGTTCTCTCTCCTCTCTCTCTCTCTCTCCCTCTCTCCCTCTCTCTATATGCATGTATATATATATATATATACATACACATAACTATGTATAGATGTATTTGCCTTCGGCTCATCCTGCCACCGCGCCTGGGATGTAGGTCAGAGGCCTCTCGGGGCCCTCGTGGCCCGTTTTGGGCCGCTCGTGGCTCCGAGAAGGTGTTGCGGGAAATGCCAGGGAGCCGCGGGAGGCACGCACGGAAACTTGGACCATTTGAAAAGTTGGAGCCCGGGCCCCTGAGTATTCAGTCCTGAGGGCAGAAGACTGAGGATTAGAAGGGACCTGAGGGCACACCAGCTCGTGCTTCGCGGAACGGCGGCGTGCGTATATCTTACATTCGAGAAAGCCCCGTTCAGTGTTGATCTGAATTTTTCGCAGGTGCCCCGATCGGCCTCCCCCGCCTTAGTCTCATTCGACTCTACGTTCTAGTCCAGTCTAGTTATTGTATTGTTCTATATTTCTCCTTCTCTCTATTTCTCTTTCTCTTTCTATGTCTCTCTCTCTCTATATCTATATATATAGAAAGAGACAAATGTGTATCACTCACTGTACCATCATGTGCACATATATATATATATATATATATATATATATATATGTATATATATATATATTGTATACGCATACAAACATGCATGCATACCTACATACATACACGCATACACGCACTTTCTCTTTATGCATAACTCTCTCTCTCTCTCTATGTCTCTCTCTCTCTTTTTACTAGTTGTTTGATTATCTGTCTTTCCCGCTCTCTCTCTATATGTGAATATCTGTATCTGTCTATGTATATACACATATACCGGAGGTTGGGGGGTGAGATCGCAGTGAAACGGAGATCCCCCCCACCGGGAAATCGGTTTCGGATTCACGTTCGTGTCGTGCGTGTGGGCGAGGCTAAGCTGCGTGGGCGGGCGAGTGGAATGAACCCGCCGTTGCCAGTGCGAAGCCGAGCCAGACGTTGCTGTCCCCCAGGTTGGCCAGCAGTGACCCTGTGGTGTTTCGATGGTGTCCCGATGGTGCCCCGAGGTGTCCAGTATTGTCTCGTGGTGTCCCGTGGCGCGGGGGTGTCCCGTGCAATGCTATATGCTATGCTACCGTACGCTAGCGATAGTGAGATCGATAATGAGATCGACAGTGAGATTCATTGAGTGAGATAGAAAGTGAGATTTGAGATCGATAGTGAAATCGATAGCAAGATCGACATCGATAGTGAGATCGATTGAGTGGGATCCATAGTGAGATCGATAGTGAGATCGATTGAGTGAGATGGATGGTGAGATCGATCGTGAAATCGCTAGGGAATCGATAGTGAGATCGACCGGGAACCCAGGAACCAGAAATTGGAACTTTGGGAACCACGCCCACCGAAATCGGCCCAGAACCAGCAGAACCGGAAATGTTGGAGCCAGAATCTCGGGAATTTGGCCGCCTACCGAAATCGGCCAGGCACTTTGCCAAATTGTTCAACCTCCGCTAGGACCCCTTCAGCACAAGCATTCATAGGGGAATATGTATATGTATGTATATATATATATATATATATATATATATATGTACACGTGTATGCATCTATATCTGTTCATGTATATGTCTAGATAAGTGTATAAACATATATATATATATATATATATATTGCTCGCCCCCCCCCAGCACCCCTCAACGACGGATTATCTTCCTCCTCCTGCTCCTCTTCATCCTCCTGGTCCCTCCTCCCCCTCGCGGGAGCACCCTCCTCATCGTCATTATCTTCTTCCTCCTGCTCCTCTTCATCCTCCTGGTCCCTCCAAGGAGGGGAGGGCAGGGAGCGGAGGGAGGGGGGGAAGGGGGATTGCATTGCAGTGGATTGCGACCGATTGCGTTGCAATCGTTTGGTTGCAATCGATTGGATTACAATCGGTTCGATTGAAAAGGATTGGACTGCAAGGGAGGGAGAGGAGGGAGGGGGGAGAGAGGAAGGGAGGAGAGGGAGCGGAAGGAGGGGGGAAGGGGATTGCATTGCAATGGTTTGCAATCGATTGCGTTGCAATCGTATGGATTGCAACCGATTGCATTGCAATCGATTGGATTGCAATGCAATGGGGGACACGGGGCAGCCTCGAGCGACATGCGCAATGCGTAGGATGTCTGGGCAGTCGTGAATGGGGCTGCCTCGAGCGACATGCGCAGTGCGTAGGATGATGATGAGAAGAACGCGTAGGAGGAGGATGAACAGGAGGTGGAGGAAGGGGAGAGGAGGAGTAGGAAGAACAGGAGGAGTGAGACTCCCAATGCGTAGCTTCTTGGGGCACTCTTGGGGCGATACAGGGTTGTCGTCCACATGTTTCTTGCGGAGGCCTCTTGGGCATTTCCGAATCCTCATGGAGAGGCTCAGTGGCCACTTGGAGCCGTCTTGGGGCGGTCTTGGCGCCTCTTCGAGGCTCGTTCGAAGCTATCTTGAACCGCCTTGGGCTATCTTGATCGATCTTGGAGACCATCTTGGACCCTTTGCGGCCCTCTCGGGGCCATCTGGCGCCATCTTGCGCGCTCCAACCCGTCGCGGGGCCTCTTCTCCAGACGCAGGGGGAAGGGGTTAGGGGGAAGAACGGGGATGGACGGACCAGGCTCGCTGAGCCACCTCCGCCCAGGGGGCGGGTGGGATCACAGTTGACAATCCGTTGCGCTCTGCACTGCTAGCGCTCGCTCTCGCATCCTATCGTTTCCGTTGCCCTTTTTTGGTTCAAGTTGTTCATTTTTGCTACCATGCCAGCCTCGACGAAGGCAGCGCTCGAGAGGAAGCGCATCGCCAACATGGGCAGGGCACGCGTCAGGGCTGTGAAAAATTTCTTGGGCAAACCGTGGGTGGCGAAAGCCTTGAAGGGGGCAGTGGCGGAGTTCAAGGCTGCTTCGCACAGGCGTCTGTGCGATGCACTGGCCACTGCTACCCTTCGTTCCACCTCTCGGTTCGACGCTCTCTGCGAGAAGAACAGGAAGCTCACGAGGGAGCTCGACGCAGCGACCCGCGAGAAGCAGGAGCAGGCCGACGAAGTCAAGACGCTGCGGCAGCTGGCGCGGGCCAACGAGAAGCTGGAGCAGAGCAGCGAGGAACTGCAGGAAGGGCTCGGCAAGGCCAAAGCCGCCCTCGCCGACCTCCGCTCAAAGCAGGCTCGCTTCAACTACTGGGCAACGCCCCAGGAGAAGAAGCGCTGGGCCTGGCTCACTTTGCACCCCGCGAAGTGGGGTTCGAGGCGCAACCGGTTCCTTAGGGGCGGCTGCATGGGCAGCCAAGCCAGTGAGGCGCCTGCACGACCTTTGCACGGGGCTGCTAACGAAAAAACCAAAATGCTGCCGCATGGCGCGCCCGCCGCCCACCGCGCCCCAGGGAATGGCGTTCGAACTTCGACCGCCAGGTGGCGGCATGTTGAACAAGACCTTGCTGTCGGGTGATCTTGGATAAGATCCCCCTTGCTTTGGAGGTCCCGAAAAAACAACTCGACGGAGGGGGAAACTGAGCAACCTACTGACGACGTGCTTTTTGACGCCCATAAGCTCGCGGCTGCTTGGGCCCAATCGCAAGGTTCTGCCGTTTGTGCTCAAGTGCACGACTGAGACAGACCCCAAGCCACCAGGTGGTGGTATCTTGAACAAGATCCTTCTGCGTGCGTCTTGGATAACATTCCCCTTAGTTTGGGCGTTCAGAGAACAAATCGACAGAGGGGCAAGCGGACCGACCCAATGACAGCGCACCCCTGCACGGGGCTGCTAACGACGCACCCGCACGCTGCCGCGCGGCGGGCCCGCCGCTCCCCCCGCCCCAGAAAATGACGCTCGAACTTCGACCGCCAGGTGGCGGCATCTAGGCAAGATCCCTCTGTCGGGGGATCTTGGATAAGATCCCCCTTGCTCTGAGGGTTCAGAAAAAAAAACAAAAGGGCGCCTGCAATTTAGGATGCCCCCCTGGGAACGGAAATCGCAGAGCGCAACAGAAAACACGGCAGAACCACAAGAACACCGCATCGATGACAATGAACGACAGACGGCGGCAAACTCGCCGCGACGCAGACCCAGCGAGAAACAAGTGCGTCTTCTGTGGCGCAAAGGGCATCCAAAATTAAGGGTGCCCTCGTGGCGACAGACACCGCAAAACGCAACAGAAACGCAATGCATAACGACAGGATCAACACGTCAACAACCACGAACAACATACAGCTGCAAGCCCGCCGCGACGCAGAAGCAGTGAGCAGCAACTGCGTCTTCTGCTGTGAAAAGGGGCATCCCGATTTTAGGGCGCCCTCTCCGAGGTGGAAATCGCAAAACGCAACAGAAAAGAAATGCAGCACAACAAGAACAACGCCTTGATGGCAAGAACGACAGGCAGCGGCTAGCCCGCCGCGACGCAGAATGAGTGAGAAACAAGTGCGTCTTCTGTTGCGAAAAAGGGCATCCCATTTTTAGGATGCCCTCCTGGAGACGGAAATCGCGAAGCGCAACAGAAACCAATGCAGAGCAACAAGGCCAACCCGCCGACAATAAGGAACAGTAGGCAGCGGCAAACCCGTCGCGACGCAGGAGCAGCGGGTGACCACTGTGTCTTCTTCCGGAGGAAAAAACGGCATATCTTCCTTCCACCTACTACTACTACTACTACTACTACTACTACTACTGCCACTACTACCACTACTACTACTACTACTACTACTACTACTACTACTACTACTATTACTACTACTACTACTAAAACTATTACTACTACTATTACTACTACTACTACTATTACTACTACTACTACTACTACTACTACTACCACCGCTACTACTACTACTACTACTACTATTACTACTACTACTACTACTACTACTACTACTACTACGACTACTACTACTACTACTACTACTGCGGCTACGACTACGACTCCTACTACCACTACTACTACTAGCACGCGTGGACTCCGCGCGCACACCACGTGCACAGCGTGCGCGTACACTATGCGCGCCGCGTGCTCACTGTCGCGCGCAATGGACGCGCGCTGCTTTGCATGCGCTCATGGGCTCGCGTGGGTGGTCGCGCGGGCACGTCGCTCGGGGCCTCTTTCGACTTGGCAGCAACATCCCCTGCTCGGCCTGCTTCGGCCCGCTGTCCCGCTGCCAGGGCGACGCCGACAGTGGCGGCCCGCGGCTCCCACGTCAACTTGTTCCTGCGCCGGCACCTCGGGGCCGATCGGCCAGCAGGATTTGTTTTCTTCTGTTCAGTGCGGAGATGATATCCTCCCCCCATTGTTTGTAAAGCAGGTTGTTTTGTGAGTGAATGTGTCACATGTCGGCGCTGTCACGCAGATAGAAGCGTCATGCGATGAGCTGTTCATGGCGAATGCATCGTGGTATGTCACAGGAGTAGTCGCCAGCTCGCTCTGCGGCAGCGCTGCGCGCAGAGTTGGCATTCTGGCCCGAACGTGCGAGGTGCTAGTTTGCTTGGTAGCCGCCGTGGCGTTCTTGTACCGCCTCTCCAGCGCTGCCAACTGGATCGATGAGTGCGCAGACGATAATTACCCGTGGCCTGCGTCGGCCGCGGGCTCGGAAGTGATCCCCCCATTGTCCGCGGCCGCGGCCAGGACCACCACGGTCGCGAAGACTCCCAGCTTGCCGTTCGGAGATGTTCGCTCGGCCCGTTCAGGCTTGATCGGTCAGCCCTTGTGATATCGCAGATTGATGGCTCCCAAGGTGAACCAGCGCTGGGAATGCTGGCACAACCCCGCGCATTCTTTCGCGCACGCAGCTTGCGCACACGTGGCCAAGGTTGCGCGGGGGGCCTCGACGCGCCGCCGCCGCATTGGCAAGTGCCATCCTGGGCCTAAGGGCGGAGCGCAGTCACTCCTGTGGTCGGTCAGGAGCGCGCGCGCACCTTGCCTGAGCTCTGGATGGCACTGGCCAAACGCTGGGGCCACGCAGGTTTGCCTTCTTCGCCAAGGTGACCCCGCCTGGCGCCGACCGCGTCTGCTCCTTTTCCAAGTCGCCCTCGCCCCCGCGCGGGCGGCTTGCAGACGGGGCTCACGACGCGGCGGAGGCATCGGGGCTGCCGCTTGGCATCGCCGACGGGGTTCTTAGGGGCGCTGAACAGTGAAATCAAGCTATCCCGTGTTTTTTGGCGCTGCAGAGCTGTATATGGCATGTGCGTATATGGCTGATCATGTCTAAGTCGTAGCCGAACAAAAACTTAAACGTTCGGAGTGCAGAAGAGCGGAGGCGACCGCTACGGGAGAGCGCTGGGGTTGCCCGAGACGCCATTGCAATCCCCAACCTGATGTGATCTGCCCTTGCGGGCGACCCAATTTGTCCCCGTCCGCCACTTCCACGCGCGCGGTGGCATTTTTTTGTTGTAAACAAAGGGAGCTGTCTTTGCATGGCGTGGGGAAGGCAAATTGATCCGGCGCATGCCATATTCTGCCGCCCGAAGGTCGTATACGGACACGTCGACTTGGCGCCCGTCCATTACGACCCCACCAAAGTGACCCATATCGCGGTGCAGGACATGTGTCATGCAAATTCACTTGTTGCAGGCATTAATGACATTCTAAATTAGCGTTCCAATTGCTATTTGTCCTGCTCCACCAGTTTATTGTTCTCCTGGTTCCCCTGTCGTTTGCTGATCATCTTGATTCGCGCGCTGTCGTTTGTCATCTTTGTACTTCAAGTCTCTATGTCATCTAGGTTCCGTCACAGTATCTAGTCGTCACCTCGGTTCCCATGCGCTGCCTGGCATGTGCCTGCATTGTGTGCTACGTTGCTTTGTACTGCATGCTTGCAGTGTTATGACCTGTGTCGGGTTGTTTGAGGTGTAAGGGGGCCCCTATTGGGCTTTGCAAGGCCGTCATTTGTTCCGCCCCGAACTCGGCGCAGGCGCAACTTTTCGGTTCGGACGGGGACGGACCCCCCCCTTGCTTCGCCATTTCGCCGAGCGGGTTTTCGGGAACCCGCCGCAGGAAGACGACGGCATCATCGACCTGAGCACCGCGTGGTCGCTGCGTCACGCGTGCGTCGGCTGGCAGCGCGGCGACAGGCGGCGACCGATAGCCGCCCGAGATGCATTGTATTTGTTGGATGTCTTCCGTCGAGGGCCGCCGCTCGCGCGATCGCATCTCGACCCTGCGGTCGGCCGCGGTCGGGTGAATCGTCGCGTCGCGTTTCCTGGGCTCTTGCGTGACGGTCGCTTTAATCGAATTGCTAATTTCCCCCACAACACCCCTCGTCACTCCGATCTTCCGCTCGCTTTCGAAGGTGGTGGCACGGCATCGACATGCGGCGCGTCAAGTCGTTCAGCGTCGACAAGCTTCATGAGGCCCTGGCTCATAGTTCTCATGCGCCTGGGCGGTCAAATTGATCGATTACGACGCTCGTTCTCTGATCGGATTCAGATGGCCGCGGCGCTGAGCGATCGCGCCGCCGCGATTGCGACGGCGCGCCTCAGGCCGGCGGGGACCGAGCGCGCATGCGGTACTTGCCCCACTGGACGGTGCGCAACATCAGCGCCGCCGTCCCGCCCAAGCTTCTGAAGCTCTGCCGCCGCGCGGCCTGGCGCGAGCTCACGGAGGGCGCGCGCCTCTGTCAGATCTGTGGATCGGGTGGTCGGGCTGGCAGAGAGGCGGTCGTGATCTCGCAGCATCATGGGCGCGATGGTAGATCATTGGCGCAGCGATTGCTTGTTCTTTGGGGCGCTGATACTTAGCAGTCGGCTTGGGGGGGTGATCTGGTTCCTTGCTTTCGGCGCTCTTGAACATCATCCCATCCCCTTCTCTCTCCCCCCCCCCCCCGCTGAAATTCCACCAGCCCAGCGGCGATTGCTAAGGCCTGACGGCCGGTGCCGCCGACCCTGTTCGCAATGCGCAGCAAGAGGCACGGGCTGTGGGATGGTTTGGGGGAACTGGGAGAAGGACGAGAAGGTGGGGGAGGGAGGTGTCGCATCTGACCCGGGACTTCCCCGGGGCTCCCCCGGGGCCCCCCCCCGGACCTCCTCTCCCCCCCCCGTCGGGGAAGGGAAAGGGAAGGGGCCTCCCTTCGACTCAATGACGACGTTGCTCAAGTCGGCTTGGGGGGGTGATCTGGTTCTTTGCTTTCGGCGCTCTTGAACATCATCCCATCCCCTTCTCTCTCTCCCCCCCCCCCCGCTGAAATTCCACCAGCCCAGCGGCGATTTCGGAGATGGTTGGGTCGGTGGACCCTGAATCGCCTCTGTACAACATGAAGCGGGAGTTCGTGAACAGCCTTCTGAAGTGCATCGCAGACCGTGACCACTTCGCCGTCAAGGAGGACTACTATCCTCTCCTGAAGTCTGACATCCGCAAGGAATACCAGCCGATGGCAAACAGGACCTTGCAGACGCTGGCGGGCAACACGCTGCCCACGATAGGGGAGGCTGGCTTCGGGAAGACGCCGTTCATGTATATCCTCGCCATGGCGACTGCGAGGCACAATGCAGACGTCGCTAATGAACTCCGCCCAGGTCGTGCCACGGCTGCTGTTCGGGTTTCCGCAGAGATGGACTTCTTCCGCGGGGAGGTCGGGGAGCCTTGGGCGCCGTGCATCTTCGATGACGGCGACCCCGCGGATCAGCGGCCTCGCGTCCTCAAGGCTTTCTTTGACCCCGCGCAGGCTGAGGCCATGACCTACGCGCGCTGGGGGGCCGCGAAGTTCGTGCGCGGCCAAGCGAGGCGGCTGGCGAAGTCGAAACGTTGGACCTTCCAGGTTTTTATATAAAAAAGAATGACTGTCAGGTTTTGTTGTCTTTTTCCAGAGAAAAGCGAATCCAGGGCGCCGGTCGGCCCCGCGCTTCGTCTCTGCCCAGGTTTGGCGGGGGCAACGAGTGCAATTCGAACGCTGCGCCAACTGCCGAGCTGTGGGCGTTCGCGGCGACGCCACCCGATGCTGCGAAGCGGGCTACTGGCATCTTGGTGGACACGATTCGGCCCGCCTTCCCAAAGGGCATGTCCGAGAGCAACGTGGGGGCCATGCTCGAGCGGTGCAATGTCGCCCTCAACACAAAGGAAGATTTCTTCTTCAGGCCCGCTGGCAAGGACTCGGTCGCTGAGAAGCTGTCCCTCATGAGCAGCTACATCACGGCCGAGGCGGGCAAGATCCTGATGCGGTTCCTCGCAAGAAGCGCCGCGACCAGGAGGAGTGCGACAGGCTCCTCGCCTTCGAGAAGAAGGAGGTGCTCAAGCTCATGGCTGCGTCGCGCGCAGCAGCGGGCGCGGGCGACGGTGGCGAGGATGGCGCCGACGGCGCCGCCGCCGCCGCGAGCAGCGCCCCAGCCGGCGCCGCGGCGCCGCGGGAGGCAGGCGCGGCGGGCGGCGTGGAGACCGCGCCCAACGACGGCGGGATGTCCGACCGCGGCGGCGGCGCCGACGCGTGGGCCGACCCCGCGGACGAGGAGGACGTGTTCGGCTTCGGCGGCGACATGCGGGGGCCCGAGCTGCCCCCCCCAAAAGCTGACGGCCGCGCGGGGCGCCCACGTGAGGGAGATCATCAATTCCGAGGCCAAAGTGCTGATGATGGTGCCGTGGCAGGCGGGTGCTGCTCCTGGATCGAGCGGCGACGCGAGCGCGCCGAGTGGCGCGGCTGCGCCCGCGGACGCCGCGCCCGCCGTGCAGCCCCCGATCGTCGGCTGCCACGGTGCGCTCTCGGAAGAGGACCATCGGGAGCAGGTGGCGATCTTCCGCAGCCTCGCCAAGACCCACCACGGCGCGCACGAGGACCTGGTCACTCCGCCGCGGAAGACCAGGAGGACGGGTCTGGCCTGCGGCGGGCCGCTCTCCCCCGTGGACATCCAGGAGCAGCGGGCGATTTTCGCATCCATTGTGGCGCAGGCGCACGGCGAGACCATCGAGGTGGCCGACGATAGCGTCGACTTGGAAGCCGAATTGGAGACGCTCCTCGATGGCGTCGAGGCGGAGCGCGTTGGCGGCGCGAGCTAGCTTCCAGGTGACCTTACGGACTGATCCAGCGGCAGCTGGCCTGGCGAGTGACGCGAGAACGCACAGGCGAAATGTGCGCAGCGACGCATATTGCTTATGACGGCCGAAGCGAGCCGATGTGAATGCATTCAGGTCTATGCTTGTTCGCTTTCCAGATGTAGATGCCTTCCGCGTTGCGATATGTTGGGCGAGTGTCATAGAAATGCCCATGCGAAATGTGCGCGGACACGCATATTGATTACGACGGTTGTGAACTGTGCGAAACAGCACCATCTTCAGTTGATCCTGTTACTCATCATTCCTACTCTCGCCGTGCTTCCCCATCTTGCAGATGCCCCTTTTCTTAGACCCCTTTGTCAACAACCCCCCCGCCCCCCCGCTGCATTGCAATTGCATTGCATTGCAATCCCATTGCAGCGCATTGCATTGCATTGCGATCGCAGCGCGTTGCATTGCACTGCATTTCGATCGCATTGCGTTGCATTGCACTGCGCTTTGCGTCGCATTGATTTGGGGAAAGAGGGATGGGTTGAATAATTATTGCTGCATTCTGATTGTAATCATACTGTGATCCTGGCGGGTTCGGTAGGAGGAGGAGGAGAAGGAGGAGGAATCGGAGCAGGAGGAAGAGGCGGAGGAGCAGCAGGAGGGTGAGGGTGAGGAGGACGAGGATGAGGAGGGCGAAGAAGAGGATGAGGATGAGGAGGATGAGGGGGATGAGGATGAGGAGGAAGAAGAGGATGAGGATGATGAGGACGAGGGGGATGAGGGTGAGGAAGATGAGGATGAGGAAGGGGAGCAACAACAGCAACAGCATCAGCATGGCAACGAAACCGTGCTATTCACAGTTTGTTTTTGTTTTTTTCGGTCAGGGAGGCAACCAAACACTGCTATTCACATGTGTTTTTGTTTTTTTGGGTTTTCAGAGATCCACAAGCATGGCCAGGGGGTGTAGTGGAACGCCAGAAACCAAACAAAACTTCTGAATTGCAGTGCTTGGGGAGAGCATGGCCACCAAACGCTGCTATTCACAGTTGTTTTGTTTTCTGGCGGACCGAAAAAAACCAAAAAACATGTGAATAGCATGGTTTCGTGGCCGTGCTCTCACCAAATACTGCTATTCACAGTTTTTTTTTGGTTTTCTGGCGGACCGAAAAAACAAACAAAACATGTGAACAGCATGGTTTCGTGGCCATGCTCTCCCCAAACACTGCAACTCACAAGTTTTTATTTGGTTTCTGGCGTTCCACAACACCCCCTGGCCATGCTTGTGGATTTCCGAAAACAAAAAAAAACAAAACAACCTGTGAATAGCAGTGTTTTGTTGCCTCCTTGACAGAAAAAACCAAAACAACCTGTGAATAGCATGGTTTCGTGGCCACCCTCCTCCCGCAAGTCTTTTTGGCGAAGGAAGAGGAGGAGGAAGAGGAGGAGGAGGAGGAGTTAAGGAAGAGGAGGAAAGAAGGAGGAAGAGGAGGGCGAGGGAGGAGGAGGAGGAGCAAACAATCAATGATCGTTTTGTGGTTTCGGTGGTTTGGGGGGTGCTGGGGGGGGGGGGGGGGGGGGGGGCGACCATATTATATATATATATATATATATATATATATATAGGCGAATACATGTATATGTGCACATATCTACCTATATATATACATACACATGCATTTATGTGTATATATATATATGCATATGTAAATGTATATACCTATACGACCAACCTTCGGGTGATAAGGAGGTTGTGGGGGGGAGAGGGGGGGACCAACATCTGACTCAATCGATCTCACTATCGATCTCACTCAACGGGCCACCACGGGCCACCACTGGACACCACGGGACACCGCGGGACACCTCTCGATCTCATATCGGTCTCACTATCGATCTTCCTATCGATCTCACTCAGCGGGACACCATAGGACACCTCGGGACACCACATCGATCTCACGATCGATCTCACTATCGATCTCACTCAACGGGACAACGCGGGACACCACGGGACACCACGGGACACCAGCGGGACACCTGCGGGACACCGCGCGACACTGGTCGCCGGAGGAGAAACATGTGGTCCGGCCGCGGTCCAGTCACAGGAGCATTTCGGGACACCGGCGGGACACCGGCGGGACACCGCGCGGCCCCGTTTGCCGGGGGGGAATCATTTGGTCCGGCCGCGCCTCAGCCACAGGAGACTTTCCTCTCGCCCGCCCACGCAGCGTCGCCTCGTCCGCACGCACGGCACGCACGATCACGAAACCAGAACCGGTTTGCCGGTGGGGGGCTCTCCGTTCCACTTCGACCTCACCCCCCAACCTCCGACTTATAGATGTGTACATATCCCTCTCTCCTCGCGGGAAGTTTGAGCTAGCCTAATTTCGGCAATGTTCTGCACGCTGACCCGCCACGTCGCGTTCCGTTCCGTTCCGGGGAGCAGGTGGAAGGGGAAAGAGTCGCGGGTTAGAGACGGGTGCATGGAGAGATGGAACCCTGAGGGCAGGAAATAGTTTCCTGGTCGAACTGCATTGGTCAGGGCCTCCTGGCCCTAGAGCCTCAAGAGTGTCGAAAGATGAAGGGGACGAGGAAGAAGAAGAAAAGGAGGTGGAGGAGGAGGAATCATACCACTCGTCGCAATAGTAATCATTCGACGAATAATATTGCTAATAATCGTATTAGTAACAGTAATACGATAAATAATAAGAGGGTAACGAGGAGGCGGAGTTGGAGTGGACGCGAAGAAGGAGCTGGAGGACCACAACGACGCGGTTGACGACGAGGAACCTCGGGAGACTCCCAGAGACCTCCTCCTCCCTTCTCCCCTCGCCCTCCCCATCCCCTTCCTCCTTGTTCCACCCTCCTCCTCTCTGGGTGCCGCAGCGCTCCGAAGCTGCACACGTTCCAACAAGTAGTAACTCCCTGAAGGAGGCGCTACCTCTCTGAACGTGTGCAGGAGGCTCCTCCTCCTCCTCTTCCTCCTCCTCCTCCTCCTCCCGCTCCTCCTCCTCCTCCTCCTCCTCCTCCTCCTCGTCCTCCTCGTCCTCCTGCTCCTCCTCCTCCTCCTCCTCCTCCTCCTCCTCCTCCTCCTCTCCTCCCCTCCTCCCTCCTCCCCCTCCTCCTCCTCCTCCCCCCCTCCTCCTCCTCCTCCTCCTCCTCCTCCTCTCCTCCTCCTCCTCCTCCTCCTCCTCCTCCCCTCCTCCTCCTCCTCCTCCTCCTCCTCCTCCTCCTCCTCTCCTCCTCCTCCTCCTCCTCCTCCTCCTCCTCCTCCTCCTCCTCCTCCTCCCTCCTCCCTCCTCCGTCCTCCGTCCTCCCTCCTCCTCCTGCTCCTCCTCCCCCTCCTACTCCTCCTCCCCTCCTCCCTCCTCCCTCCCTCCCTCCTCCTCCCTTCTCCCTCCTCCTCCTCCTCCTCCTCCTCCTCCTCCCTCCTCCTCCTCGTCCTCCTCCTCCTCCTCCCTCCTCCCTCCTCCTGTTCAATTCCATGGCCATAGGGGGGATGACCCGCAGGCTGCATATATAAGTTCACGAACATGCTGGTCACATGTCAAAATGATCCTGTCCGTACTCCTCGATGGCGTGGGTGTCGAGGTACGGGTCCAGGGGACAGAAGAAACTCGCAAGCTCGGGATCAAGAGGGGGGTGGTGGGTCACAACAGCGGTGTCAAGCTCGCAGACCTCACCCCCCTCTCTCAGCTTCTGACGACACGCAATGGCAACAAGTCGAGCCAGGAAAGTACGTAGCTCAGTTGGGTACTGTTTGGCCTGCTGGGTCTTCCCACGGCCGATCTCGTTTTGTCTTGGCACGATGTCGTGTCCCGTCATGTGGCAACATCGGCCTCGACGGGGCATCTGATCGATTTCTTGGCCTGGACTGGGAAGATTTGTCGTCAGCAGCTGTGTCGGTTTCGTCGTATGCGCACCGAAGGAACATTGGTTTATTCTGACATGCTCGCATGTGCACAGTTTCCTTCAGAAACCATGAACTCGGAGCTTCTTCGTTGATGGGAACAGCTGGGTGCTCTAAAACTCCACAAGCACCTGTGGCAAGACTGACATAATGAACTATAAGGCAATTCGTACATATCATTTACTGTAGAAATCTGTCGCCACTCCTTTGCGGTGGCCAGTGGTCTTCCCCATAGAAACTGTAATAAACGGAGGGTCCTGGTGGTCTGGCCCTCTGGGGATTCCGCACACCGAACTGTCAACCATGTCTCGCTCGGTGGGCCAACTATAACACCGACGGCATGGGCATCAACAAACATATTTGCCAGTCTCTCTCGTGTTCTTGGCGACCTAAGATCGCCACTTACTGGATCATTTACAATGTCAATGGGCAGCACGAATACAGGTCCTACATCAAGGCCTAACTTCTGACATGATTCAAACCAGTCCTGGAAATCGTCGTGCCGTCTCTGTCCACTGAAAAGGTGACGCACATAGCGGGTCTCGTTGGGCCCCACATGTCGCGGATTCTCGAGAGGCATAAAGTTTGCGCCGCCAGGG